TTACAATTCCTCAGGTAATCTTTCCTTCCGAGGGTGGGTTGCACCAACAAGGATTAAGCTTTAATCTAGATTAAATCAAGGTTTATCTAATAATTCCGTTGCACCAAACTTTAAACCTTGTTTAAAAATAAGCAGGCTTACATTTAAACCATCATCTTGATCCTGGATTTAATTTCACAATAAACCTGGATTAACTATAATCTTGAAAAAGCTCCATCACTTTAAACTCAGATTTAAATTTCAGTTAAGGATTAACTTTAAACTTGCTGTTGAGGAGGTTTAAATTCTCAAAATGGCAGCACTTATTTGGTGGATTGGAGAAAATGAAAGAGTTCCTCGCAGAAAAATAAGGGACCCGTCTCAACCCTGTTGAGTTTTATGATGGTGATGCATTTTCAAAGCGGTACCGATTCAGCAAGGAATCTGTGATGAGATTAAATCAAAAAATTGAACCTGCAATTAGACCGCAATGCAGCCATACCTCCCATGCTCCAGCTTTTAACAGCCTTGCGCTTTTATGCTACTGGTTGTTTCCAAATGGTGGATGGGGACCTTTTTGGAGTACACAAGTCAACAGTGAGCAGAATTGTTGGAAGAGTATCACAGGCAATTGCAGCCTTGAAAAATCAGTATATAAGATTTGCCCCAACAGGAGAAACATCTGCTGGATTTTACAGAAGAGCTGGTTTTCCAGGAGTTACTACTGAAACCCATCCTGAACCCTTCAACGCCAGCTGAGAAACGACACAACACCTGCCACATTGCAGCAAGAGGTCTTGTCGAGAGGGTGTTTGGAAAAAGCGGTTTCCCTGCCTGGAGAATGGGCTTCGAACAAAGCTTGATACAACACTGGCAGTCATTGTTGCTCTGGCAGTGCTGTATAACTTTGGGAAAAGACTCGGAGATGAGGGACTACCAGAGTTTGAAGTGGATTACCGAATTGAGCACACAGAGGATGAAGGAGAGGAGCACAATGCTGCCACTGCAAATGGCAATGCTGTCCGGAGGACCTTGATTGAAAACCATTTCACTGCATAATAGCAGTGTGTATGTGTATTTGTATTTATATAGCATGTAGTAGTGTATGGTATGTAGTATAGTACAGTAATGTAGTAAATGCAGTATAGTATGTAGTTTATATATTAATGCATGTATGCTACTTTAAAAGTGTTCACTTTTATGCAGCACACATTCCTTACCTTACATTACCATTTTTGTATTTAGTCAATACTGCCCTTTTTCTAAAAAAAAAAAAAAAATTAACCTTTTCAAAAGTTTCACCTTTTCTTTTATTACAGTAATACGACAGTAACATGCATTAATGATATTACATAACTAACTATTAACAAGTTATATATTTAATCAAACAAACAAACAAATATATAAATAAATAAACGGATAGTTGATATCTTTACAGAAATAATAGCCTATTGTTTACTAGTCATACATTTAACAAATAAATAAATTTTTTTCGTAATGTTTCCTTCATTTTCAGGAAATGGAACTCACTAAAAACTATTTGTACTTGTAGTTCTGTAGTTTTTCTTTTTGCATCTGTAATACTTCCTTTTGTAAAAGAAGCACCTCTCTCTGTAACTTGGCATTTTCAATTTGAATTACATTCTTTTCTTTCTCTAATTGTAGTAATTCAAGATGATTTTCGCTGAAATCACTTTTTTGTCTTTTGCTCTTTGGGGGCTCTGAGCATTGAGCTTGATCTTGTGCCTGAGCTGCTCCATCGCTGACGCGTTTATTAGGCGCGGCAGGCGTGCAGGAACTGGTCCTTTCATTGTCATCATTCGCATCTAGGATAAATATTGTAAGTTCCGCATTATCAAACCAACAATGTCCAGAGCAAAGAAATGTGAAAATGAAATGCAGCTAACATACTTTTGTGGGACGATGTCTGTGACTCCAGCTGGTCGGCAGTGGAATCGTCGTCGAATGGGTTGCGCAATGGGGTTATCTGTTGCGGAATCATCTGGATAATTTTTGTGACAATGAATCTATTTCTCCAGTAGGGGGGCCACCACCAGTGAGAAATGTGTCCCTTCTCTCCTGTGCTGCATCTTTTTTCGCTTTCGCTTTGAGGTTTTTCCAGCAGGCTTTCAGACTATTTACATCGCGCTTGTCCTTAATCCCCACAGAAGCATTGAAATCAGCGGTTAGCTGGACCCAGGCGTCTTCTTTCTTTTTAATTGTCATGTTATCTGTCTTTTTGTCTTCGATTATCGTCCCATATTGCTCCATTAATTGATATAATAAATTTTTTTCATGGCTTGTAAAGTTTGAACTTCTAATACGCTGCGCCATTTCTGCGAATGATCTGATAGCGGTTTATTAGTTAAATTTTATATTTTTTTTAATTTAAAGTTCCATTACTTGCACGAGCTCTTTTGTAGTCACTCAAGTAACATTGTTGCGGTTTAGTGAGGCTACACTGAATCAGAATTAATCGCAAGTGAAAGTTTTAATCACAGGTTAATGTTTTAATCGCAGATTTGTTAATCTGTGTTTAAAATTAAGTGGTGCAACACAACTCGATTTAAAATAAAACCCAGATCAACAAATCCTTGATTAGCTCTAATCTTGGCTTAATTTAATCCATGTTGGTGCAACCCACCCTGAGAGAAGGAGCCTCGTTCTGGACCCCCGGGAAATGATTCTGTCAAACTCAAACAGTATTTGGAGTTGACAAGGTAACCACTTGTTTATAAAAAAAAATATATATATATATATGTGGAGATATGTAATTGTCATACTTATATTTTTTCTTGTATGTGTCAGGGCCAGATAGATTAGTAGCCTGTTTTTGTGACATCGGCTTCATGAGCATTGTTTATGTTGTATCCAAAATACAATCCAGTTGTTTGCAGAGTAGCCTATTTTTGCGTTTAATCTCATGAAATTTTTAATTGGTTTAATAAGCCTGTTGAATAACCAGCATTTCTAAACAAATATTCCACACAGCTACTTTCTTTTTTATTTATTTAGGAAGCAGTTAAGAAATTGTACAAACATATTCGGGAGAACATTCAATAGGATCTACAGTAGCCTACATAACACTTAAAGGAACACTCCACTATTTTTTGAAAATAGGCTCATTTTCCAGCTCCCCTAGAGTTAAACAGTTGAGTTTTACCGTTTTAGAACCCATTCAGCCGATCTCCGGTTCTGGCGGTAGCACTTTTAGCTTAGCTTAGCATAGATCATTGAATCTGATTAGACCGTTAGCATCTCGCTCAAAAATGACCAAAGAGGTTCTGTATTTTTCCTATTTAAAAGTTGACTCTTCTGTAGTTATATCATGTACTAAGACTGACGGAAAATGAAAAGTTGCGATTTTCTAGCCAATATGTCTAGGAACTATACTCTCATTCCGGAGCTAGATTCCGTCAACATAACCAACGTGACCAACTGCTTGCACAGGAAGCGTGCTGGGGACTATTTTCAGGCGCTGCATAGGAAAATGAAAAGTTGCGATTTTCTAGCCAATATGTCTAGGAACTATACTCTCATTCCGGCGTAATAATCAAGGAACTTTGCTGCCGTACCATGGGTGAAGCAGGCGCAATGATATTACACAGCGCCTGAAAGTAGGCTAACTTCCGTCAACATAACCAATGTGACCACCTGCTTGCACAGGGAGCGTGCTGGGGGCTATTTTCAGGCACTGCGTAATATCATTCATGAACCTTATGAAGATGACATGAAAAAAATGTGCTAAAAACCCTGGGGGAAAACAAATACTTATAAGATAAAAATGACATGAAATTTCCATTATAACCAGTAGATGGGAGCAAAGGATCACTCATTAGCTCAGTTGCCATTTTCACTCCCTAGTTTTTTTTTCCAAGTGTTGCTTTTGGATTTATTATAAAATGACTATTGTAACAAATGTTTGTACTATTACTCTACTAAAGTATGCCGTATAGCAAGTACAAATGGCCGGTCTGGCGGGCTTGACTACGGAGCGGTTGGCGGGCTTGTCTTCGGAGCGTCCGGCGGGCTTGTCTTCGGAGCGGCCGGCGGGCTTGACTTCGGAGCGTCCGGCGGGCTTGTCTTCGGAGCGTCCGGCGGGCTTGTCTTCGTTTGACAGCAGGGCGGTCCTCATAACAAATACGGGGAGAAAAATGGAAAAAACAAAAGACTGCTCAAAACGAAAACAAAAACACGGGAGAAGGGGCGCCGCTTACTGTTTTCGGTCCGCTGTTCTGTCACGATTCACACTGGGAGCACGGGAATGAAGGAGCGAGGAGACCAGGAGTAAAGTAAATTCCAAAATCTTTAATGAAAACAAAGCTGGGAACACAGGAAACACGAAATTACATTTAACAGTGGACGGGAAACGAGGGGCAGAACACTTTAAATACACAGAAACTAATGGGACACACTTGGGAACAAATGAACTAAATGGACAGGAACATGAAAAACCAAATAAGGGCATAAACAAACTGGAGCACGTGGGGGAGGAAAGCACAACACGAGACATGGAACGGAGTCTGACAGTAATAAAAACATAACGGTTCATTATGTAAGGTCTTAATACACCTCTAAAAGCATAGTTATGTATATTATATTGCATTTCTGTCAATAGATCCTCTTAAATATTACACACTGCACCTTTAAACTGAATCAAATTAATGAGAAATGCCTTGAAATTAAAAAAAAACTGTCTTTCTCTTTATTTATTCCTTCCCTTTCTAGCTTGTACTTATTTGAACAACGCCTGAAACTTGGTATTACGAGCAGTTCCTGTGTCTGTTTGCCTCTTTAAGAAGAATCGCTTTATGTATCCCCCAATTGTACGTCGCTTTGGATAAACGCGTCTGCAAAATGACGAAATGTAAATGTTATCAAAATTAGAGGATGTTTATTGCAACTAGGGTTGCAAAGGGGTGGAAAATTTCTGGTAAATTTCCAAAAATCCCTGGAAGATTCCAAAAAAATCCTGGAAAGTTTCCAAAATTTCTGGAATGTTTCCGAAATTTACTGGAAATTTTCCACCTTTTTGCAACCCTAATTGCAACCTCTCTATACTTGAAAGGATGTACGTACATATGAACACCTGTGGCCACTTCCAACCGTGACAAAAGAAAAAAGCCTCAAGGCAAAATATAAAGAAGCATGCAAATAAACCACATGGTGCAGTGTTCTGTTTAGGTGATCATCTGATAGGGCCACATTTAAAAGGTTATGTGAACAGTCTCACACACACACGAACACAAATAGCATCTTTCTTCAAATCTCGTCACTCTGAGGAACACCGGGTTTGCAAATGGCGTTTCAGGTCTCTCTTATACAGGAACCTCATCTCACACTTAGAGCACGAGTACGGCTTCTCTCCAGTGTGAATCCTCATGTGAATCTTAAGGTTTCCTTTAAAAGTGAAACCCTTTCCACAGTGAGGACAGATGAAAGGCTTCTCTCCAGTGTGAACTTTTATGTGTGACTTCAGATTTCCTTTCTGTGGGAAGCCCTTCCCGCACAGCTGGCAGGTGAAAGGCATCTCTCCAGTGTGACGTATCACGTGTATTTCGAAGGATTCCTTGTGTGTAAATCTCTCTTCACACTGTCGGCATGTGTAGGGCTTCTCTCCGGTGTGAATCCTCATGTGAGCCTTGAGGCTGCCTTTGTGACCAAATTTTTTTTTGCAGTGAGGGCAGGTGTAACGTTTCTCTCCGGTGTGAACTCTCATGTGATATTTAAGATTTCCGCTTTGCGAGAAGCTCTTTCCACACTGTCTGCAGGTGTAAGGCTTCTCTCCGGTGTGAAGAGTCATGTGATTCTTTAGGCAGACTTTATGACCGAAACACTTCCCACACTGAGTGCACGAGAACGGCTTCCGTCCGCTGTGAATCTTCATGTGATTCTTCAGGTATTTGCTGATTTTAAAGCACTTTTCACACTGCTCACATTTAAAAGGCTTTTCTTTGGAATGAAGTATTGCGTGCCTGTCGAGGTGTTTAATGTTCCAGAACGTCATTCCACACTGACCACATTTAAAAAGGTTCTCTCTCGAGTGAACCATTGTGTGGCGATTAAAGGTTTCAGAGTTTTGAACTCTTGAGGATGTCTGCTCTCCAGTTACAAAATCATGATGTTTCTCTTTCATTTCATTCAGTTCTTGATTCTCCTCTTTCAGCGCCATCAGCTCTATGACGAAAAGAGACAAAAACAAGTTCACCCCTGTTCAATGGCACAAAGCAGCAAACATCAAAATATGTATGCTAGATCCTACCCCACTGAAAGACAAAAAACCTGTAATCCCAGAATGAGAAAGTGAGATATCACAATTTTTGTCTCCACGATCTGCTATTGAAGAAATATTGTGCTACAGCATACATTCTATTATTTGCAGTTCTGGCACCTCCGTCCTAATATACTATGCAACGCAGCATGCATTCACATTAGGGCTGCACGATAAATCGCATGCGATTGTCATGCACATCTCGTCAGTAAAGCCGGTTCTATGATTAGTAGTAAATCTCCATCACGTGCTTTCAGATGGAGCGTTCATAATCGCAGATGAATCGCATTCGTTTATGAACACGATATTGCGTAGCTTGTCAGCGAACTATGGCTCTTTAATGTTTAAATTGGGGTTTGAGCAAAAACATTAATAATTACATACATTTTGAAATGTAGCTTGACGCCAATTGTAGCTTTAATTATATTTTCAGTTGTATTTTTGTAAGCATTATGGATAGTTTGTGTTTCTGATGAAGAACCGAAAGTTATTTATCTTAATTTAATGCTGTATATTGAGCAGTGGATGATGTAAAAGCCATATACGAAATACATAGTCTACGTTAGGAAAAAATGCATTGCTGATCAGTGCCACCTAGTGTGCAGGCGTGAATTAGCAGAAGGTGATCAATCGTTTCACGCTCGGTGCGAAAGCAACGTTCGTCTGTGATTCGCCTCGCTTTTTCGCATCGCGCTTAGTGTGAAACGGCCTTTAGATGCATGCAGGTCTTAAAGTGACAGCAGACTAATATTTTTAAACATGCTGCCCCTTGTCATTAAAGGGATAATTCACCCAAACATTACAATTCTGTCATTATTTACTCACTCTCATGTTGTCCAAAACCTGTATTAATTTCTTTAATACAGGTTCAACTGTTTGCTTACCCACATTATTCAAAATAACATTTATGGTCAACGGAAGAAGAAAAAAAACTAATTCAGGTTTAAAACAACTAAGAGTGAGTAAGTTATGACAATTTTCATTTTTGGGTGAAATATGCCTTTAATGCTAATAAAACAACAAAAACAGAAAAATCACTCACTGCTCTTGACTGAAGAATATTAATACAGTTGCTTTAATAAGAATCACTGCAATTCATAATCGCAGATGAATCGCATTCGTTTATGAACACGATATTGCGTAGCTTGTCAGCGAACTATGGCTCTTTAATGTTTAAATTGGGGTTTGAGCAAAAACATTAATAATTACATACATTTTGAAATGTAGCTTGACGCCAATTGTAGCTTTAATTATATTTTCAGTTGTATTTTTGTAAGCATTATGGATAGTTTGTGTTTCTGATGAAGAACCGAAAGTTATTTATCTTAATTTAATGCTGTATATTGAGCAGTGGATGACGTAAAAGCCATATACGAGATACATAGTCTACGTTAGGAAAAAATGCATTGCTGATCAGTGCCACCTAGTGTGCAGGCGTGAATTAGCAGAAGGTGATCAATCGTTTCACGCTCGGTGCGAAAGCAACGTTCGTCTGTGATTCGCCT